AGAAGGGTTTGGGTCTTTTTGCCCAAAATTGCAGTAGCTATGCTTTTATCTGTACACATGCTTTTAGAAAACGAAGGAATTATAAAAAGTGCTTAAGTCACTCAAGACTTACCAGCAATTAAAAAATAACATGAGGAAACTTCATGGCAGAAACAGCATTACTGGACTACCTGAAAGACCTGGGGGATCTGGGACAACTGTAAGGTTTGGGGATGCATTTTTTCTTGGAAATATATGAAACCAAATAATACCTCCACTTTTTCTCTTTAGCCAGTGTGGGAAGGTTCTCTGTCAAGACCAAACATAATTTGCTAAAGTGGCTTTGATTGCATTGTGAAATGCAATCAGCATTAGAACGTAGGTATCTTTGCCCCTGTGACACAGCAATCTCTGGAAAAACATTATGACCAAAAAAACACTTGACAAATTTCATCAGCCATCATCATGTAATTAAACCCCTAATTTCTGCAGGCTGTCAACATTCCTTTTTTCTGAATTTTATAATGGTTGTGGCTCCAGCTGTCAACATTTGGCAAGGACAGAATTACAGCTCCATTATTTTTGTTGCCATGGTAAGCACATAAAACAAAAAAACTTATTTTCTTAATTATACTTCTGCACGTTACACCTCGAACAATCTGGCAGCTGGCTTTCACAATTCAAAGGTAGCCAGTATTCCCGGGGGGGGGGGGGGGTGGGGGGGGGTGGGGTGGGGAAACACCTATCACAAGGTGAAAACAACTTTTTATTTATTCTTTGCTCTAAGTAGGCATCCATGATAAGGCATCAGGCAAGACAAAAAGCAGTCCCAAAGCGATGCCAACTTCATTTGTCCCTATTAGGAAAAACACAGAAAAATCTGAGCCCTCACATCTGGATTCCATCCAGTATCTTCCTACTTCACAGAGCACTGAAATCCCATGCACACTTCTAGTAGATGCTGAATGCAAAGAAAAATAGTGTCATGAAAATACTGGAATGTAACCTTCTCTACCCATGTCCTCAGAAAGGCTTGCTTTCCATGAAAAGCTACTGTGTTGCATAAGTGGAGTTGCAGCAACAACTACTTTGGACAACTACTTTGTCTGTATTAGACTTCCTTCTTAGACTACCTTTGTCTTCATTGTTTTAGAAAGGTAGTGAGATTTTGGCAGGAAAGCTGAATGGGAATTTGACTTCTTTTGTTTTCTGTTTTTCCCTCTTTATAGATCAATTATGACTGATCTATAACAGTTTGGCTTTTCCATACACCTATTCAGATGTTATTCACACATTTTTTTCCTGTTAAAGAGAATAATGAAGTCCCTAACATACACAAAAAGAACATTTCACAGAGCACCAGGCACCAACTTAATCTTCTAGTTCTCAGGTTTTGAACAGTGCTCTTAAAAACCACACGGAGCCCTTCTCTTCCTGCTTTCATAATTTAGTTTTATAGCAGTTAAACTGAATGAAGAGTATCACTCTGAAAACTGCTTGCAGATCTGTTAATTAAATTTCCCTAGCATGCCTGTGCATAAGTCACCCAGTATGCACTGTATCAGTATCTATGCTAAAACACGATCTAGCATTACGAAACTTTAAATTCATGTACAGAATGACAAAGCTGTGTGTTATTTCAGAAGTTAATTATTTCTATTTCTTGTTGGATCATGCTTCTATAAATCAGCTTTAGACCAAGGGCGTTGTTAGACAAATGGCTTATATTAAACAAACCGTCTTTTCTATCAGGAAACAGGAGATCCCAAAAGCAACAAGGAAACAGACAGTGGTGGGCTAAGGCAGGATCTAGGCCCTGTGTCTGTAGAAGGATTTCCAGACTAAGATTTTTGATATTGAAACAATAAGACTGGATATACAAAAATACAGCTTGAACTTTTCACCCATGTGCTTCTAAAGGCATATCCACACAGCTGCACACTGACATAGGTTTTTGACCAGACCAGGCAAAAGCCATCTCGTTTGGAGGCTGTACAGTGGTATGTACTCATGTGGTGGTGTTTTCAACATCATCCTGATTCTCAGGAAATAAAAGCACAAGTCTGTCTACAGCCAGCCTGGACACAGGATCTTAGGTTTATCTTAAGAAAGATCAGGGTGCAGTAGTCACAGAAGAAACCAAAGGACCTACAGGTCTTTTGAAATCAGTTTCACCCACACGAGCAGTTCACAGTGGAACACCAAAAAGAGACTGGTGCAACATCCTCCATCTGGACAAGAGCAGGAAGAAAGAATTAGTAAGTCTTTTTAATGGGTATACAGATGCTTATACAAATCTCTTTTGGCAATGGCCTAATAAACACTGAATCACAGAAGAGGCTACCATTTACAACAATGCAATAGATAACCAAAGCCTTGGAGAGAGCGGGCGAGGTCATTAGTCCTTCCGTCTGTCCTTCAGTCTTTAATATTTTTACATCAGGCAAGTGTAATTAAAACAAAACTGAATCTCCACTGGCCTACAGTTTTTCTTTGTCCCATTTACTGCAGTGCTACCTATACTGTTACTCTATTCTGATTTTTTAATTTTTCCCATACTAGGTAGGACACTAAGGCCTAGTGAAAAGAGTTCTTTTTAATGACTATTCAAGCCACTAGAATAGTGATAACGCTTCAGGCTCTACAGGCCAAACCAGGATTTTGAACATCCCTAAATACCCATATTGATAGCACTGAAAAGGCAGTAACTGCACTTCTGCAAGATCAGGACATCAGAAGAAAACAGTCCTTCTGCAGCACTCCTGGTTAACTGCTCACAACTACTACACAGTTTCTATTAAAACCCAGGCACCCAGCATGTTTCTAGGCTGTTTCTCTTCCACGTTGTTGGGGAAAAACTTACATGTTTAATTCCTTACTATAGACTACAATAATAGTTATGCACCTTGCAATCTATACAAGTCATTAGTAAGGACAAGTCTGTGTTACTAATACAACCAAGTAGTGTCTTACATCGTCCTTAAGACAGCTAGTTTCTATACTCAGTCAAATAATGTAGCTCACCGCGTCGGTTGTATGTAGCTAGAAAAGCTGGTGTAAATATTTTTTTTTATGTAAGGCTGAAAGCTTCGAGGTGATCACTTTGTAAAGTTTAAAATAACCTGTTGATTTACTGGTTGATCTAGCTGTTATTCAGAATTATTTGTTTATGTACTAGTGAAGCAAACCAGGCTTTCTGTAACAAATCTGAGCTTCTCCAGTAGTAGATGAGCTGCTCTTAACATTTAAAAACTTGAGAGAAAAATTCCATGACTGATTCTGCTAAAAGAATATCCGGGTTAAAAAAACAAAGTAACCCTGCTATTAAAAGTGTTGATGCTGAGTTGGGTCATTTTGACAGAACTTGGCTAGGAATCAAATACACATGCCAGCAAACTTCAGTTGCAACTTCTAGTGGTAAAGTGGTAATGAGTAGTTGGGCACAGTAAATTTCTAATCTAGCAGAGCTACAGCCACACTCTAACTATAGCCTTAGAGTTAAGCTCTTAATCCTATTACATTGAACTATTTGTTTTCTGCTAGAGCAAAATACAAATGTTTTACTATCACACACAATTTCAACACTGCGTATCTGCACTTTCTGTTAGCATTTATTCTTGGTCTTTATACAACACATCAACCTAGAAAGGGCCACAAACTACACGTTTCATATTTTCAGTGGTTTCCATTTAATTCTTCATGAACTTTCTTTTTAATGGGCTGTGCTGCTCTCAGGATACAGACTGTGTCCGTCTTGACATCTACAATCTTTACTTCTTAATTTTCATCACAACAACGTGAAAGAAAAGCAAAATAACAAAGTGCCTAATGCACAATCACCAAGTATCTAAAATGAGTAACTCTAAATAATGACTTGAACTGACAAGGGCACAGGTCAGGCAGATAAACGCAACAGAAAGACATTCTGCTAAGCAAGGTACATTTCAAGTCCACAGCATCACTTCCTCAAGTTCCATTTCCTGAAATGTATGTGCTTATGTGCCTTTAATGGGAATGTGAAGGGTTTCTTGTAACATTTCCAGAAAAATATATAATCAACTCGTGATCAGTCTTTCTTCCTAGAACCACTTTTTTTGGTGATACTGATTTAGTCACCGAGCCAGAACTAGAAGCTCACAGTCATCATAGAGATTTTGCCTGAATATTTTGTTCATTAGATAAAGCTTGTCAAAGCCAGTATTGGTTTAAAGAATAGTTTTCTTTTTTCCAAGTAAAAAAGCCAAACAAAAAAGCAATATTGCCTTCTTTTAGTTAATGTGTTTAAATGTATTTTCTTTCAAGCATTTTCCCCACGCCCTTTTTGTTCACATCCACTGTCATTTTTGCCGCTGCCTAAATTGTCAAACAAACCTAAGTGTACTTAACATGATTGTGTAAGGGTTAATTACTCAAGTACTTTGGGGATACACCATTCTGTTAAATTAAAATCAAGCATAATTTTAACGCTCTTGATTTAATTAAGGTCCCATTTGGTGATAAGGTGTTGACATTGGGACAGAATAATGGGTGGTGTGAAACAGGGCACTGATGATGTTGAAAACCGTCAAGGTCACCCTTTGCTATGCTGCACTACCAAAAAAGCATTTTTAAAACAGGAATTTTTCATGTATCTTGCAGGTTAGGCTTAAACCTCAGACTTTTGGGAGGGAAGGGAGACTGGTTAGAGAGGTATAATGGGGAATGGTAAGGCTAATTGCGTTTCAAGCCACAACTCTTCAGGAAATGATCCATGTCATTCCCCATTCCTGTGGTTTTACTATTATGATCCAAGAACATTCACAGAAAATGAAGTTAACACCCTGAGATGATTTGGCAAGTGCTTTTCTGCTTATGCCAGCTATTGTACTAGTAACAGACAACCTGCAGGGGCTCTGGTTAGCTGGAGTTTAAAAAATACTGGAAAACAGCAGAGTTAGTAAAATCCTTATTAAATTACAGCTTTTCATGTGTAGCAAGACATAGATTATAAGCCTAAAAGATTTATGGGATGTGAATGAAAGTCAGTTCATCTGAGAGAACAGGTGAAAAAAGACAACTACAAATCTACCAAGCCAGATGAGCAATACCCTAAATGCTAAGTAGTGAGGGCAGTGAAACCCAGGAAGAATTCTGAATTGTAGCCACTAGACTCACATGGAAACCATTAGAGTTGTGTTTTTATTGAATCAGGGGAAGCCCTAGGTAAGCATATTAAAAGATGACTCAGAGGAGTGGCTCTGAACTGAAGCAATTTCTAAATGAGAAAGATGCCAAAGAAAACCATATCATCAAATACCACAGGTTGAGCTTTGGAAGAAATAAATAGAAAGAATTTTGTTTCCACTTTTATCCCACAGGAAGCAGGCATCAGTAATTCCCCTGCCATTAGTCCAGCATTCTCTTCCTCTTTCAAAACAGTAGCAAACTATTTACATACTAAAATAGACTGACAGTTTATCCTTTCTAGGACAGCATTTCCTCTATATGCATGTGAGGAACTACTACATAATGAAACCTAATAGAGGTTTTTTTTTTTTAGAAATGCTGATTTTGTTTAACATGATGCAAAGCTAGATATAATCTTTGTGCTCTAAAAAAAATAAATCTAAAATGTCTAGAATTGAGAAATACATGCCTATTGCTGCAGTGATGTTTACCTAATCTCTAGTTTGAAAGCACACATGAAAAAGTTGCAAGTGGCTTCAAATAGCATTGTTGTTAAGTATATTTTTTACCTTCAGTGAGCCATCAAGCTTCCTGAATGTTGATACTGAAGTTGTGTCCTAATCACCATTTCTTTAATAATACTAGCCAGGTTATCTTTCAGGGAAAGTGGTAGGGTCACTGTGACCATACGCTGGGTCTTAGCTGATCATTTGCCTTAACCACCCTATGCCACACCCTGTAATTATTTTCTCGTATTTTCCACCTGCATTTCTACTCCCAAATTTTGTAAAATACTAAATCATCACTTCTTGTCACCGTATAAATAGAGCACCTGACCAGCATGAATGACCTGCAGGATACTTTCCACTACCTCAAGTAAACATGTATTGTTTGAAGTTCTAATATTAATAATGACCAAAGCAGCAAATATATGCAGTTTACAAATTGACAAGTTTTCTTAAAGACAATTTAAGAAGTTACACCTCAAAACTCACAGCTAATGGTAGCTTTTAAAGACTTCTCCGCATCAGCCAAAAAATTTATAAACAGCGTTTAGTAATCACAAAAGTGGGTAAAACCAAATTTCCTAAAGAAGACAAAAATAAGCTGAGTGAATAGGGAAAGGAACTGAATAACAACAACAAAAGTCTAGTACTTAATTTAAAAAAAGATTTTTAATATAAAGCTGAATACAAAAATAACTAAAACACCTCAGTCATCTCTAACAAACCCTCAAGGTTTTCTCTTATCAATTCCCTGACAATCTGGCAAGTGCTTGTTTTCTCTGTTCTGCAGTCATATACTCGCAGGCTTCCAAAATATTTACTATAATTAAAGTCTGTTGAACTGTTTTTGCTTTTACCCATATTCTTCCATTCATTCCCAGCACCAGCTCAAATGGGTACAATTGTGACAACTCCTGGATTATTTCACATTTTGGAGCCAAGAGTCTGTAAACAAGATTAAAAAAAGTCAGAGGAAAAAGTGCTCACATTTGATAAAACACCACACTGCTATCAATAACTAAACTGCAGTACTGGCATTACAGGAGTTCTTGCTATTAAAGCAATACCAAAAGGTAAGACGATCAAGCTACATATGCATCCAAAATAGCAATACAGTACCAGATTCTGAATTCTCCTTATATAAAATATATGCGCCTAAAAAAATACAGAACTTGTCAATTTAGCTTTTTTCCCTAATTAGATTCAGAAGTGATACCTGACAAATTTAAAGGTAATTTATACTTTTATAGTAAATCTCTGATTTAGTAACTTCTAAAACTACGCTGTTTGACAAAGTGACATTTTTAAAGTGCTGCTATTTATAAATTTGACACCAGAGTTAAAGATGTGTCTTTCAACACACAACTTTCCCTTCTCCTTCAGGAGACAATAACAACAGCAGTAAACATATAATAGTTTGGTTTTATTAGGTGACAGCACAGCAAAAAAAAAAGTGTCAAGAATATTTTAATACATCTAGGATCAAATCGAGCTTCAATGGGATTTCCTGAAGAAGAAACAAATGTACCAGGATTTAGCAGTTTACTTGTAATAGACTATTATTTCTTTACTTGCCTAGAGATAAAATTTGGAAAAGAAACAGAAGGGCTGCAAAAAAACTTCTATTGGTTCACACTGAATTCCAAGGGGACATATAAGACAGACAAATCATTACTGAAACCCAGGTATGAAGTAGCTGCTCTGCATCTCCAGACTGCTTTTCCAAACAATAAAAACAAACAAAACACCCCCACCCAAAAGCAACAACAAAGTCTGACTATCATTTATCCATATACTTTAGTATTCTTTGACAGTCACCAAAATCTTGTACTTACATGAGCATAAGTAACTCCAAAGTTCACAATAAGTCTAAAATGGTTCCTGGATTAATATGTCAGTTTTAAGTGAAAATCCCACCAATTTATCCTTATTTCAATGCAATTTATTTTTCTTTGGAAGCCAGAAAATAATGTGTATCGATGTGTACAGACCCCTTTAACCATCTGTCAGCCAGAGGTACTTCCCCAACTATCCCATTAAGCAGAAAAAGGACAGTAAGCATTCCTGATTTTTAAACTCCAAGGTAGTAGGTATATACCCAAAACCCTAGCTTGAATGCTTCATTTCCCCAGATCACTAGTTTTATTTTCCATGTTGCCTTGGCAACTACATCACTTTTTTTAAACAGATTGCACAACATGGTATAGAAGAGCTCTTAAATCTCTTAGGGGGGAAAAAATAAATGTTCCTTCTAGGTCAGTATCTATATTCAATAAACTGGCATAAATGCACTAAAACAATTACACATTCTGATTACGAAATTGTCCACACTGCTCAGAAGAAACAGCTGTGTGAATCCTACCCGCCATGTTACATGTTAAGAGTGACTACTTACTTTTCTTAGTACTTACTTTCTTATTAGACCTAAGGAAACTTTAAAGAGGAAGCCATCTTGTCCAATTATTCCCATTCCACTTGATCTTCCACTGCTGTCTATACAGACCATCTCTGGTTCCATGTCTTTATTTGCTACAAGGAACTGACCATAAATAAGATCTCCCACCTAAATAAAGCAATGTCAAAAAGCAAAAGTCGTAGAGAAGATCATACTTCATATTTGCAATAAATATTCAGTTGATAAAGATCTCATAAGGCCACAAAATGGTTTTAGAATACTGGTGATAGAAAAATAAACTGGTGTAATAGGAATTTTCATTGTCTCTTCTTTTACTAAAGGCAACATCCTCTAAGAACAATTACCTTGTATCACTCCTAGAAATTTAAAGATGTAAAAAAGTGCAGAATTTTATTTCATGGAGTATTCCTCTCCTTTTTTTAAAAAAAACTTTAAACACGAATTCCTCTTTCTTCAAACTTTAAGGGTATTAAAAGTCCAAGTAACCTGCTCTTGTATTCATTCATCAGGACAACAACCAAAAAAGTCATGCTAAGCTATTTTTTCCTTACAGTCCATTTTTACGTTCTGGTGATGGTATTTCAGTTCAACAGAGAAGCTGTGCCATGCACGCGCCACGCAACTGTTTATAACAGTGTTGTCAAAAACACCTTTTTCACCAGATGGTATAAAAGCTTGTTTTGAAACCTTAACTTCAGAGTGCCCCCTTGGATGGGCATCACTCATGAAATGCATTTACTGTGTGTGGCAGTTGAAGCCTAAGGAGTGAAAAAGCCTGACATCTGACAGCTGCCAAACCGTCACACCAAGTTACACGTTCTCTTAAGAAACCCGAGAAAGCCCACAGCCTGATGGTGCAGAAGCCTCTGAGGAGGGCCAAGGCGAAATCACTGCAAATAAAGCTATGCGCGGTTCACAGAAGTGCTTTTACTAAGAAACACTACTGAAACGTAACAGAAGCCCCACCGAACGCCGCCGCTAAAGCGTCACCGCCAACAACCCGGCGCATTAACCTGCACGTTGGGCCTGTTCCTCTTCGTGGCGCCTTCAAAGGCCAAGTAGGAGAGTGACGCCTGCTCGCTGCCGCCGACGTCCAGCTTGAACACGTCTCCCGCTTTGGCCGTCACTATTCCTATGACGTGGTCGCCCTTAACCGGAACGTACTGCAAAGCGGAGGGGGGGGGGGGGAGGTCGGTCGGTGGACGCACGGGTGAGCGAAGAACGGGCAAGACGGGGGTTTACGACCACCCTCTCGCCCCCGGCCGGTCCCTGCGCGCCCTTACCCGCTTCTGCTGCGAGTCCACCCAGTACGCGCCGCCCGCCGCCGCCGCCGCCGCGCCGCCCGCCCGGCGGTGCCGCAGCAGCCCGCCCTTGGTGACCAGCAGCCCGGCCCCGCACCGCCGCAGGCCCGGCCCGCAGAGCAGCCGGCCCCGCGGGGCCGCGCCGGCGCCCAGCCGCAGCCGCTCCCCGTCCTCCTCGGGGTGCCCGGGGAGGAGCAGCACGTCCCCGGGCAGCACCACCTGCCCCACGCACTCCTCCGCCGCCGCGCCCCGGCCCGCCGCCATCGCCGCGCAGCCGCAGAAACCGCCGCGCAGGCGCGAAGGGAAGGGGGGGGGGGGGCGGGCACCGCGGATCCTCCGCGGAGGCGGAGCCCCGCTGCCGGCCGCCGCGGGAGCCGGGTTCTCCCCGTCCCAGTCAGCCGGGTGCCTCGTCACCCCGCGGAAGCCCTTAGTCCTGGAAAGGATTCCGCTTCTGCCCGCGGAAGACCAAGGGTTACGTCACTGGGACGAAGCTCCAGAAAAACAGACACCGAATTAACCCTTTCCCTTGCGATCATTTGTAGGCAGGAAGAGAGCCGGCTGCGCTTCAGGCGAGTGTCAGCCAAGGAGTTTGTCGGTGAGGAGAAAAATAAAAATAAATCACTCTGCTTTAATGCTGGAAGTCTAACTTCAAGCAGCATGGGAAACCACCTCTTTATTTTAAAAGGTAACTTGTACTCGGCTACAAAATTCTTACTCGGAGTAACCTCAGGTGCCTTATGCTAAAATTCCAATACTATTCCCCAAATTGCTTTCTATTCCTTACCTATATACGCATACATATTTATACACACACACCGATTTAACACCTAAATTAACCAGGAAGGATCTATTCGTTGCCAGTTGTTGGCATCCAGGACCGACTGAAGATGTTCCACATTATTTTTTTTTTTTTTTTTTTGCAGCAACCCCTCCCGTTCCGAGGGAACGCTTCGCGGAGCGATGGCCTTAAACGCCTTCAACAACGTCCCTAGGACGACTGCGCCGCCGCCGCCCCCCAGAGCGGTGGCGGACGTCCCGTTTCGGCGGCATCGCTCCGCCGCTGGCCGGTGGGTCATCCCCGCGCCTGGGCTCAGGGATGGGGCTGCCGGGAGGGACGAGGCTACCGGTGGCCATCCCGGGACCGGCGGTCGCCCCGGGGCGGGGGGGGGCGGAGATAGCGGTGGCAGCTGGCTCCGCCCACCGGGCCCTCCCGCCAATGGCGTGCCTCCCGCCAATGGCGTGCCTCCCGCCGGCTCCGCGGGGCGCTCGCGAGCGGCGTTGCTTAGCAACCCGGCGCGTCTCTCTGCGCAGGGCGCTGTGGCGGCCGTGGCGGCGCTGGCGTGGGTGGTAGAGGGCGACCGCTGGCCGCTGGGCCGGGGGCGGTCGGTGGGAGCGAGGTGAGGAGGGAAGGAAGGAGGGAGGGCGGGCTGCCGACAGGGTCGCCAGGAAAGCCGAAGAGCCCCACCGGAGCGGGGCTGAGGAACGGGCCCGCCCAGCCAGCGGCTCAGGGGAGGGGTAAAGGCCCCTGCCGGTGCTTAAAATGGCGCCTGGGGGCAGAGGGTGTGGACAGAGGTTCCGGGTGGCAATGGGTGTCTCTGAGTGCTCTCAGGGCCCTGGCAGCTGGCCCGCCGCTGCGGGAGCCCATGTGAAGGCGATGGGTGAGAGCGGTTTTCTGTCCGCGGCATTTCACCCAGGGCGTGTGCGGAGTGCCCCGGCTGCCTCCCGCGGGGGTCGTGGGGCGCGGCGCGGCGTGTTCCGCGGGGGCCGCTGCTGGACGGGCGCCGTTCCCGGCGAAAGGGGTCGGTGCCGGACTCGGCCCCCTCGCCCGCGACCGCAGCGGGCCCCAGCTGTGCAGGGAGCGGCTTTCGGCTGTGTTACTTGTTTACTGGCACGGGACCGGTAAAAACTTGCGTGTGCACGGAGATTTGTGCCTTTCCTAACTGTGCAGAGTGATTGCTGCAGGCCCTAGGCTTGCATACATATCCTAAAGGTAGCCTTGTTCGTTCAAGACAAGATCTATCCTTAATCATTCACAGCAGTACTTCGCTGTTCCTCCGGTATCTGTATAGAAGTTCTCGATGTCCTGTTGTCGTTTTGAGTTGGTTTGCCATTATGCTGACCTAGAATTATCGGGATATTTCCCTACAGTTTCTAAATTATATGTGCCTAAACAGTAAAGGTTTTTTGTTTGTTTGTTTGTTTGGGGTTTTGTTTGTTTGTTTGGGGTTTTGTTTGTTTGTTTGGGGTTTTGTTTGTTTGTTTGGGGTTTTGTTTGTTTGTTTGGGGTTTTGTTTGTTTGTTTGGGGTTTTGTTTGTTTGTTTGGGGTTTTGTTTGTTTGTTTGGGGTTTTGTTTGTTTGTTTGGGGTTTTGTTTGTTTGTTTGGGGTTTTGTTTGTTTGTTTGGGGTTTTGTTTGTTTGTTTGGGGTTTTGTTTGTTTGTTTGGGGTTTTGTTTGTTTGTTTGGGGTTTTGTTTGTTTGTTTGGGGTTTTTTTTGTTTGTTTGTTTTTTTGTGGTTTTTTTGTTTTGTTTTGTTTTCTGCAGTGCTTAGTATAACTGATCCTGATCTATCACTGGAGCTTTTAAGAACTCAACAAATATTAAATTTCAGTAATTTTCTTCTATTCATTGCCAGCTTAATAAAAGGAGTAACGTTATATTCAATATTTGGTGCCTGAGGCAATAATTCTTAAAAACCCTAATTTAATTCTGGCATTGATGGCTAATATCTGTCTGTCTGTTGTTAGTAGATGTGAATGGAGTCTCAGTATCTGAAGAGATGCCTGGGAAGTTGCTTGAAAAAGGGACTGGCAGAGGTCGTAGAGCATCAGCCAGCAGATCCAATAGAGTATCTGGCACATTGGATTTACAATTACAGAAGACTCTTAGATGAAGAAAAAAAGGTGGATCCCTCCTGGGCAAAAAAATTCATGACAGTATAATTGATGCTATTTAATCTCTGTTTATTTTAATTGATTATTTGTTACCTCTGAAATAGAGAATGTTGGAAAGGAGTGAGCTGGAACAAGAACGGGAGGAGGCCCTGGCAGAACTCGAAATGTTAAGAAAAATGAAGGAAGAAGAGCTCATGATCCAGCAGAAACTTGAAGAACAACGTCAAGTTAATAATATTTCATAACAGATAATTATAAATAGTATATTAATAGTATATGAAGCTATACAATCTTGTAGTTCTCTGTATACTTCTAATATCTGCATGATGATGTTGATAGAAGGTAGCATAAAACAAGCATTTTAATCTCACTTTTCTAAATACTAACTGAAATAATTAATCAGCACATGGGAAGGAAAACTCACATATTATGTGGTAAACTGTTGTAAAAAAAAAAAAAACAATGAAGTAGCCTAAGGTAAAATGCAACCAATTTAAGACTTACATGAGAAGTAGCTTAAAATAAGTAGACTATCTTCTGTAATTAATTATGAACAAGAGGAAACAAAGCTAGAAATCATTGCAAAAATTTTTGACAGGCCTCCTAGGAGGCCTACGAGTAATAACTGATCATTGTCTCAAGCTACTTCAGTGTAAGATCAGTAATGCCAAAAAAGATAATGAGAATGTATATACAACTATAGAAAGTATAGAGTCCTGAAAATGGGTGGGAATCCATGAACAAAGAATGCACGTTTGCGCAGTATGTATAGCCCGATACAGTGAGGTGCCTTTTTCTTTTCTTAGCTACCTGAGCATTCTGTTGGCATAAAGCAATTTGAATCCTATGCTATATGGGCTTTAAATATGAGAGATAAAGATAAAACCTGTGTTTCTAGCTGCTATTTATAAAGGATTCATGTGAATTTGACCACCTGTGTAGCAGCTTCAGTGTTGTTGCGGTAATGTTGGCGTTATCTGACTGGATTTTTTTACATGGCTGACTTTCATAATGCTAAAATCAAAGGTGTAATTTTAGGTCTGTGCTGATCTTGTTAAGCACAGTTCTAGTGTAAAATGCATTCATTGTATTTCACTTGCACTTTTAAAATTTGGAATTTACAAATCCATAGACCGAAAGTTATGTGCTTACGGATTTCATGAGTCATTTAGAATAGTAAATAAGAATATGAGATTGTGTCCAGAGATAATTCACAGAGAATTATGTGAATTATTTAATGAAAACTAAGGGAAAGTTGTTGAACAATACTTATATTAGACACATTTTTAACCTAACTCACAGTTTTGGCTATAGTCACGTACTCGGGTATGTTTTGATTATATCTCCCAAAAAGGAATGTGAAAACTAATTACTACAATATGACCATATTTTTAGTAACTGCTCACAAAATACTACAGCAAACAGTATTCTCTAGGCCCTAGTGTGGTTGAATGTGGACACTTAGATTATGTAGTTTTTGAAGTTTTGTTGCAGTAGGAGTTAGGCTCACAAAGAATAAACACTTTGTATTGGATGTTTCCCATTGGAAATATTAAAGGTTTCTGATGAAGATGATTAATGTTAATGACATTGCTTACCAATCTTTTATTCAGTTTTGATTCTATACAAATTTGTCTATCTGTCTACTAGATACTATACAAAGTATCGAAAAGCAAAGTCCAAAGTATAGGAGGTAATGACTATAGACAGATAAAGAGCATGTGGAACGAGACAGTATCTTAAGTGTGTACATTAACTTCAGCCATCTGTTTCTTCTTCCTTTTGGAAGTAAAACCTTTCTGTCCATGTGAGTCTGAACCCTATGAAAATGTTGAGTCGGATGATACCGAAAGGGGTTTATATTATTAACACTGCAGTTATGTTTTATGCTTCCTTTTTTGTTTTAAGATTTCAATCACGAAATACATTGTAAGCAATGAGGTGGGGAAGATGAATGTGGACTTTTTTTCCTTCTAATTTGTCCTTTCTTAAACTGTCTGCAGAGTCAGTTGGAGCAAGAACGTCAGGAGTTGAAGCAAGAACGTCAGGAGTTGAAGCAAGAACGTCAGGAGTTGAAGCAAGAACGTCAGGAGTTGAAGCAAGAACGTCAGGAGTTGAAGCAAGAACGTCAGGAGTTGGAACTGCAGAATGCTGATGCAGAAGAGGAAATGCTGTTGCAGCAGAAAGATCAAGAGGTTTAAGCCAAAGCTTAGTCAGCAGTTTGAAAATACTGTTAATCAGCTGTCTTTTCCAGATGCAGGCACTAAATGCAAAACATAAGGGAGAAGCCCATGGGTATTGAGCTAACCCATAATTAAAAACCCAAAAAAGTTAAGAGGGGGGAAGACATCTAACATATTGTTTCCAGTCTGGGTTTTATACTTGAATTTTGGTCTATTAGGTTTATTTAGTTTACATTCAGAACGGAGCATAAATTTATTGAAAAATTTAGTGTGAGGTCAGCTTAGTTGATACTTTCGCATTCCTTGATGGTATTTATGAGAAAGTATTATAACTTAAGCATGTCTAGACAGTAATATTTTATAGTATGTCAGCACAAAGTCAATTTGCTATACCTGGAAAAGGCACTGTCATTTGGAATTGGGATACCTCTTGATTCTGAGATCCTCCTGGTACACAGAAATTTATACTAACAGAAGAGTGCATATACACATGTCCATGTAAATGTATGGTCTCTTAATGCTATGTCCATAAAAACATACACTGATAATGTTTATCTTAATAAAATTTCTAAATGTGAATATCTCTTGAATTTACATGGATTACATCATATTTTAGAGATATGTATGTTTTTAGAGCACTCTGTTACAATAGTGATAGAACGTAGTTGTAGAAAGATGACAGTGTGAAAGCGACAGAAAAAATGAATCTGCAGAAATTTAAACCAAAATTCTGTGATTTTTTTTAAAAAAATGATAAAAATAGTCTTAAGCATATTCACATAGACCATATTCACATACTAAAACACTTACATAGCACGCACACAAAGTATTCTCTTAATATGTAATGTCATTTCAGCACATCTGAAATATTCTCTATGGATAATTATTCATGACATAGAATACTTTTAACTGAAACCTGATTTTTGTTACCATAGGAAAATGAAAAGACAATAGCTGAACTTACAGATAGACCTGGAGCTCCTAATTTGACCAGAGTTGAGGAGCTAGATGAGAATGGACAGTTTGAGGTAAGTGTTTATAAGGAACAGGGAGATTATAAATGATTGATTCTTACAGATTTGCTTTTCTGTGCTGACATATCAAAGGTTAATACTGTTGCAGACAAGACTATGCTGGTTCTCACCTGTGGTTTCGAGGGATGGTGTTCTGGCCACAACCTCCAGACTGCCCATAGCCTGTTCTAAGCTAAGCCATTCTAAAAGACTGTGTGGTGTTGGCTCAAGATTTTAAATGTCCTTTTGTACTCAGGTATGTTACAAATGAAAGTATGAATATTCTCGGAAAGGAGGCAGCCTTCTTTTTCCATGTGAACAGATAGTCTTATACATCATGTACTAAAACACAAAAGATGACTCACTTTTGAGTGATCGAAGTTATTTATATTTTTCTGGTTGGTGCGAAATACATATTTTGTGCAGCAGAATGCACTCTTCCACAGAGATATCTGAGCAAACATTTAACATAGAACACCAAATGCTAAGGACACGCAGTGCTCACTAGGGCTAGGACCTGCTGGGAATCTGAGCCCTGTGCTAGCATGAATGTGCTGCTTTCACTACTACATCTATGTCTCTCGTGATCCTCAGACATCTTCAATGCCCAGCTTTTTGTTTATTTATTTATTAAAATTCCTTTTATACTTGACAGTCCAGGGAAATGAGAGAACCCGAATCAGCCTTCATTTATTGTAAGGCGTGGCAGTACATTTAACAGATGATGCCAAATCCTGTGAAATGACTCAGCTTTATGAGTATTCACTGGTCATAAAGATATTGGTATCTGTCTGACTTTTTCCAGTTAAAATATTCCAGGTGGTATGACTTGCGATTTTGATACACTAAATCTCATTTGATAATGACGAGATTATCAGAAGCCTTTTTCCTTTATTAGCCTTAATAATTTTCTCAATTTATGGTATCAGTAGTGTAATTCTAGCTCAGTATTTATATTGTAATATTAATCTGCTTTATGCTTAAGGTTACTTTAATAACAGTCTGTTTTACAAGGGTTCTCTAAATGTATTTATGAACATATTTATAACTCATTTTAGGGTCAGGTTTTCACAGGTGTTTTTTTCACTAAGGTAAATCAGATGAGTTCTCAAGAGCTCATATAGCCCCAATTTTTATATTTTTCTGATAATTACATATTAAAAACTACTCTAGAGGTTTCAGGCATATTTTATGTGTTCTTAAATAAGTGATTGCAAAACTGGAAGTGGAAATGAGTGTAAATTTACCTGCTTCTTATATGTGCCATCTTCTAAGTTTTCATGCCTAAGATTGTTTAAAGCTGGATTACATTGGCCATTGATGATGCTGTTTCAGGTTTTACAGTGATATGTTTGTTGAATTAAACTACAAATTAAGCACAGATCAATAAAATTAAAATACATAGACTTGTACTATTGAAACTGTATTGTTCTGAGTCATCATAGTTCATCCAGACTCGCTGGATTTATAGTAAAAGTTTGGTGATAAACTTTGTTGTATTTTACTGAATGGAAGAATACAGAATTATATTAATGAATACTGAATTGTCTGTCATGTAGGTTTTTTCTTTTTTCCTCTTTTTTATTTTTCATAAAGTTCAGTTAATGCTGGCAACTGATAGAATTTCATTTTTTGTTTTTTTAGAGCATAACAGATCTCACAGCAGAAGCAGAACAAGAAAGTTCCTAACTGATCTGAAAGCAGTAAATATATTTTCTACTCATTACTTGCTGATCCTGAAGTGTAATATCTTAATTTATGTATTTTCTATACAGAATTGATTTACATACCTTTTGTTTCAGTTTTCATGCTTTCTGGGTGTTTGTATAAAGTCTGTTAATTCTGGCATGTGATGCTTGCTTTTTGTTATTAAATCATTGTAGCTAGCATGGCTGACTTGGAGGAAGAAAACTAATTGAAATGAAAGCAGTAAATATTTTTTTTTACTTCTTAGCTGTTGATTCTTGAATGGTAACATTAATAATTACAGATATAATTAATGTGTCGAGCCTATTTTGGAGTAGAGGCTACAATATGAAAATTTAAATCAATATTACCAGAATAAAAGATTATTGGAAAAGGATTTTCCAAGAATTTGAATGGTTTCTGGTAGAAAGAGGGAATGCTCTAAAGATCAGAATATGGAGAGTTTTGCACATCAAACTAGGTGCAAAAATCAAGTCAAAAAGATTTTTCCAGTTTACCTGGAAGAGATAGATTGAACTCTGTGTGACTTCACAGACAGATATAATAAAAGATCTTGTCTGTCTTAGAAATCGAGGTGCTTTTTGTAATACTAGATGCTTGCTCCATGCTTTATAATAACCTTTTCTGGTTATTGTGTGCTATTAGGTGAGCTGCAAGTGTCTGCATATCAGTTTTGATTAGTCAAGTCTTAAAATAATCTTTTCTGCATTTGTCTTGAATTTGCAATTCAATAAATTACATCTGTGTTGTCTTTACTAAATACCATTATTAGCTTTCAAAGCTTCACTTCTTAAAAATCTGGAGGAATATTTAGCTTGATTCATATTTATCTATATAAATAAGTTTTATAACCCTTAAAGACTGCATTAGTTTTCATAAGAACAAATTTCTGTAATCGCTGATATGTTGGTCTAGGTTGTTAAGATTGTTCCATGTCTGTTCATTATAAATGGAAAAGACACCAGCATTAAGAAATCCTACACTTCTTGGCTAAAATGTGCCTTTGCATCTCAGTGTCTTCTAATAATACAGGTTAGTTGGACAATTAACATTAAGTCATTGCCAATATTGTAAAATGAAAATACTTTTTATTACAAATTCAGTACATAGTTAGTGCATTCGCTGCATTCTTCAGCTTGGGGATGAAAAAGATTTTTGGGATAATTTCACTTTAATTTGTTCATATTATATCTAGATTTAAGGGTTTTGCTGTCTTTGGCAAACTTAAAAATATCTATATACCCAACAGGCAACGGTCAACCATGTAATAAGTATTTTTCTGCTCTAAATAACTTGTTCTGTTCATGTAGTTTATACTAGGCATAATCCTATCAATTTTTAAAAGGTAAGCACTGTTGATTTCCAGTATAGTAATATATTATTTTTCCCTTAAAAATAGCAAAGTATGTTTATTAAAAAAAATCCTGTTGCCCTCTTTATTGCCATATTGCTTTTTGGATGCTGTTAACTGGCATGACTTAAATGAACATCCTTAAAATCAAGAGAGAAGAATGCCACCTTCCAGGTATAAATAGTCAGAAAAGTCCAGTATGTATAACTGAATGTTGTTGTTTAGATTAAAATTTTCAAAAATTGGTAAGTAGCTTGCGTTCATTTACCATTTATGTCCAGTCATGTTGACAATGAAAACTTAAGCCTTCAGCCTTCATATTTAATTAGGAGATACACTCGAGTTATAAGATAGTATTTTAAAACATACTAGTAAATAGCTCTAATTAGTACTTCCAACATGTGACTTTCATTTTCTATCTTTTCGTAACATTTGTGTCTTTGATTTTGTTATATGTATGTCCGCTAGAGTGCGTCCTAGATAAACATACTGGTGGCTCTGTCAGTTACTGCCCATGAAAGCTACAACTTTTGTTTGTCATTTTGTTTTAGCTTATTTTTAACTGTGACTTCTTTCTGATCCTGCGGTTTGTATTCCCCATTCTTTTTCTAGAGAGGAATTGAACCTTTGGATCAAAACTTTAATCAGAAAATTGCTTAGCAGGGGTCAAAAGAAAATGGTAGATTCCAATTTACCTATTCATTTGCTGATATATTATGTACAGAAGACGTAAGTTGTTCACTTTTTTTTTTTATAGGAATTTCTGTTTTTTCAGGATTTGATGTGCCTAGACCTGGTGCATTGATTGCCTCTTACAGCTTTATAGGAATTCTTACGTTGGGTATGGGACCAGAGGATAAACAGTTCTTAGATCAGTGCTTTCTTAAAAGGTGCAAAGCAGCCTGTAGGTAACTTGGAAATGTAGTTCATGACAAAGATGACTTCTGCTTGGGTGTCTAAGCCTGGAAGGAAATTAAGGCAGCTTAAAATCATCTGTGTGTTCTCCTGAACTTTAACCTTCTTTGGAGTATAGCAAGCTAGAGCCTGGAACAGAAAGAGAACAGAGGAGAAGGTACTATTTTATTGTTACTGGATGTGATTTCAGAACTATTAGTACGGTTTAACCTCTGCATAAAATCTGAAGTTGTATACTGAAAAAAAAAAAAAGCAATTGCCTAATGTAACTTCAGCTACAGCTTACATTCTCTTTGAATACGTTTTTGTGGAATGAAGAAGATTGAATTCAGAGGCAGTTGATGGAAAATGTTGCTGAAAATAAGATGCTAAATACTGACAGAAGATTAATGAAACTGTCGTTTTTCCTTTCTTCAGAATAGGAGCAGAGTTATTTAGGCTGCTATCAGACCCCATGTACAGATCCTCCTAAGAACGTGCTGATAGTAACGTGCCCATTCACAGCTGTTCTCATTCCAGCAATAGTGAAGCGTAAGGATGAAAACAGATATGAAGCCCAGAATAGGACAAAATGAATCAGATTAACTATCAGTCTGCTCACAAAAATGGAAACTCAGCTTTGCAATGTGAGAAGCTTTTCTCTTACAAGGAGACATACATGTTGCAGCAAGCATGTTTTAATGTTATCTTTTACCAGAATAGGCTGTACTCTTTCTTATGATGGATGATTTTCCTTCCTAGTCTAAAGGAACTAACTTATCTTTTTGTAAGCAAAGCTTTATCCAGTAATTTTCAAATGGTAATGAGAGTCAGATGAATTAGTCTGGATTAAATGTAAAATTGAATTCCGCTGAACTTTGCTAATATAGTTGACTCGTATTTGAAGTCAGCTATTAATTGCTTTACTTCTGTGACGTTTTTCCTGTACTTAGGTTAGATAAAGAACAGTGTTGTCTAATGAGTACAGCTAGAAGAGAGAGTCTAAACTTGTTAATTGCTGATAAGGACTGAACTACTTTCTAAAATATCTTACCAGTACATTTGTTTGATGTTTTTTCACTTTTGTTTGTTTTCTGGCATTACCATTATAAACCCTCATGTAGTCTTTGTGCTTTATATTTGAGTATTTGTTTCAATTTGTATGATGGAAAAAGCATAAATATTTATAAAGGTATTAGTGGCCTAATAGTACTAGAAGAAGGGGAAGGTAGAGGAACTTGCCATTTAATTGAGCTGTCACATTGTAGCAGATTTTTTAAGCAGCAGAAGACTGATTCACAGAATTTGAGGGCTCTCAGATGTATATCCAACTAAAATGCTGTGGGTTTTCCCTGTCGACCTGCACTTTATAGAATCATCATCATAACCCAAAATTAGTGTTTAACTTAGATCAGAGATCAGAGTTGTTGTCACTTATACTGCTATTTTTTATTTGAAATAAGTTACTCTAGAAGATACTATGTCATGAAAAATTATGTTCACTAGGGGTTGCGTGGAGATACTGAGTGCTTCCATTTCACCTTTAGTTGTAGAGCACCCAAAATCAATGGCCATTTTGAAAAAAATTGAGGTGACCGGTTCCTTAGGTTAGTCTTTTGACTATATGAACACAAACTGAGGGGGAGGTAGGAAAAAAAAAAAAAGTGATTATAGTAAACCATTTTATTAGTAATACCAAGCAGGTTTGTATTACCACCTGAAAGTAAATCCACAGGCAGTCAAGTAATGTAGTAAGTAGAGAAGGTCATCTTTTGCTTCTTGTCAATTAATCTTATTTTGAGTTGTTATCTATTACAAAGGCTGTATTGATATCTTTGTACAGACACAGAAATATATGCTTCACTAAAATAAAAATTATTTTCCATTATTTTACATCTGGCATAATTTAAATTTTCGATGTACTTTAAATAATGATGTGAAGCTTGGGTATGATTTAGAAAAAAACATTGATATTTTGAAATATCATACCAAAGTTATCTAAGTAATCTTACCTGCTCTAAGGAGTGTTTAGAAGGTTTATGAATCTTTTAACAAACTCTCCAAGGAGATTCTGGTACTTTCTGCATGTAGTCATTCATGGTTCTCAACAAAAGTTACTATTATAAAAGATAATTTTTTCCATTATCTTGGGAAAGTAAGTGCAAAAAATAACTGATTTTAGTTTGATGCAAGAACCCATTGGTGTTTGAGTTCAGCAAATTGTTTTCTGGACAAAATAAATTATTTTAATCAGTGGATCTTCTATAATTTAGATGTAGTCTAGCAGATTCCAGGTAAAAAAATTAGCTTTTTCTGGAGTAGGAGGAGGAAGTATGTCTGAACTTGATCAGCATCTTGGTTAGTCTGTTTTTCTTAATGAACTGAATCATATTTTCAGCTCTGTAATAGAGCTGATTGTTGTTTCCAAAAAAATTTGAAGCAAAACATTTTTTTGATGCACTAAGGAAGTAGTCTTCCAAGGTTCTCAATTTTGTTCTCATTGAAGTTGCTGAAAAAGGTGTTGTTGAAATCATAAGATGATTTTGTTCTCTACTGACATGAGCATGAGTTCTACCTCTGAGAAGCCACCTCCTATTTATTAAACTTTTCATATATTTAATATTAAAACATAAGATAATTGATTGACTCAAACTACATGTAGGGGAGGATCCTGCAGAAACAGAGAGATAAATTGTTGCAGGGAGAGTGAGGGAGAGGGAACATTCAGATAATAAATCATTCCCATTGCAG